CATACTGACTACAACTGTTAGTTATCGACGGGATTGTGAATATTACACTCAATCTAAAAGACCGTTGCCGCAAAAGGCAATAATTGAGCACCGCTTATCCTACTTTGCCAGATAGATTCGACTCATAACGCTGTTGTGGTGAGAAGTCAAGAAAATCATCGCAATTTTTGCGAACATGAAATAATGTACATCGCTTAATCGAAATGGTCTCCTCACGCAGCTATCTTGACGTTCATAGTATTATTATTATAATCATCCCGAGCCGCCTCTATGACATCTTTGTCGAGGGAACCTGTAGAAGTTCAAGGCCTATCTATTTTACTACAACTACTATCTTGACGTGGGTAAGCGGTCCACTTAGGTTCGTTGGTGAAGAGCCTCACAGCTTGAAGACAGGGGCTCTCCTCAGAGACGCAGAATCTGTGCCAGATTCCGGGAGGAAGAATCTATAGGGACGCTTACACAGAGAGACCTCGAACTGACTTACAATCAGCGCGCCACTACCAATTTCAATCCTGATCCACTTATCATCCGGATCGCGGATATCGAAGTACCTACCTCGTATTTGGTGTCACTATATAACTTCTGTTACTACTACTACCCGACGCCCTTGGTGATGAGTCTAATTTCCTCATCTACGTGGAGATGTTCAGTGAAGAACTTCACTTTAGTTTCCTCAGACAGATTAGAGCAATCAACTTGATCGAACGCCCCATATCTGTGATGGACGATTTACATACTTATCCAGCATTGGGAGATAACAACGTTTTCCGGGGTTTGACAATGTGACGAGTGGGTTACTAATGACTAGGACCTTGTTCTCCTCTACTCATGACCCTCCACAATCGTCCCTATTGCACAATATCCTCCAAGCTGTGCTAAAGTCTAGGCTAGCTACTATGCTATGCTAATATAATGATACAATGATGATAAGGTGTTCAATGTATTGTATGTGATGATATTATTTCAGCCTATTAACTCCCACTCGTATTATTATTAATGATAATATGTCTCAATCTTCAAGGCTCGATGTTGAGATGGATAATGGAGAGTCTAGATCTACCACAATAACAAAGAGGAACGTTTACATGGGAAATTAATTGAAGAATATGTTCCTAGCCGTAT